CAAGTGGTGTTTACTACCGACAGACGTCAGTGTGGTTCGTTACCGTTCATAGCACGATCCGTCATGACTCTCATCCAGACCACGAATTGCTATGAGATCCAAACGCACCAGTCGAACTTCCTCGGTGCCATACCCGTGCAGGATCGGGTTACATTCCAGGACTATAGTCTTGAGACACCGGCCCCGGATAGTGCCGACGCAGAGAGGGCAGCTCGGCGCCGGGGAGTGAAACGAAGGCGTGCACAAGCTGGCATAGACCTACCCGATCCCGAGCTCCTTCGAGTGCATGCTGCTCTAGCGATTCTGCTCCACTCAAGTGGTGCTGCGGGCATATTCGATACGATGATCCGCTGGCGTTCTGACCGAAACCATCACGGCGTGCCGGAGGCGAGTGGGCGTGCCTTCTGGGAGTCTGTTGTAATATACGAAGGTCCGGAAATTTGCCTATCCGCCGAGTTACAGAACGCGGCGGAGGCGATTGGTCGTTTGTCGACGTCGACTGATCCGGAATAAAAGTCATTCCCCTTTCTTGAGCTGAATTCTACGATCGTTGTTGGCATCCGGCGTCCCTCAAGCGAAAGCTGACATATGGCCTGTCTTCGTCGAGCGCACGGGGCATCCCAATATGAGGCTCCAGTGGCTTTCTGAAGCGGTTGCACCCGTAACCGTGGTCATCGGTGGTCAATCGGAGGACTAATCTCACCGACGAAGTCCGTGCTCGAAGCCGACGTATACGCCTATGCCGCGCGTTATTGGACGTCGTTCTCGTGTGTCAGTAGCATAGCGTGTTTGTTCCCTTCGTCATGCCATGAAGGCGGTCTTTCCACGATCGCATGCGCTGGCTTCACGTCGAGGCAATCTATCCATAAGATGAGATTGAGGGTTGGCACGATATACTCATGGGATGTGAGCCGCCGTTAAACAGTACCATGATACGGAACGCCCCAATCGCTGGTGCAGGAAGAGATGCGCTAATAGGTTAATGCATCACTGAGTAATGAAGGGATCGCTCCAATCAACCCTCCACGGACCCAACACATTTGCAACGGGCGTCGACGATTCCTGCGTCTCACGATGAAGCTACTGGGGGACATTGTGCTCTCGCAGTGTGCCCGAGGTTTGAAGAAAACATCGACCTATGATTGTCTACGTAATACATACAACAGCAGCCATCCACTCACATACAGACGCATTCGGCCGTCCAATCGTTCAGGAGTCAACAATCCTATACAATGCAGCATGACTTTACTGCGCAAAGAAAGATGCGTCTTTCAGATGAAAGAGGGCTTCTCAACCGTCACCCAACTTTCCCTTTTCGGGACGGCGCTATACATGTCGACACTCATTAGCATGATGCAATCTCTCCCGTGACCATAAAACGCACCTCTTCGGGCCCAAAACAAGTTTGATAGTCTTGACCTCGAACCCATGGAAATTGAGCTTGACGATTGATGATGAATCTTCCGCTTGGTACACGCTTAACTCCTCAAGCTCGTCTTCCAAGAGGTTCGTGACGAGCACCTTCACGACGGACAGGTGGTCCGCAAGCTTGAGCTTGACGGAGCCATGCCCACCGTACGCCTCGTAAAGACGAAGGACAATGGTAGAAGCGTCGTGCTTCTCGAAATTGTCGTCCAGGCCACGCTTTACTGTCTCGAGGAAGACGTTCGGGGCACCCTCTAGCAAGAAAGCAGGCTTCGTCTTCAAAAGAGGCACGTCCTTGATGTCCTCGAGGAGTCGCACTGCCGCATGACATGAGAACAACTCAAGAACCCAGACAGGAACAGCATACCATGAAGTGGCGAGTTGAAAATAATCGCAGCGATAGGGACGTCCGACTCCAAGAAGGAACCCTGGTGGGGCATTACGGCCCAAGAGAACTCGTGTTTGCCTTGGTCCTGCTCAGCGTCCGGCGCGGTAGCAGCGCGAAGAAGCGAGATGCGCAGGACGTTTCCGCGGCACGAGAAGCCGTACTTCGACTCGGACAGGATGGCAACACCATATCCATACTCGCTTAAGTCTGCGTACTAACAGGACCACCTGAATCAGATATCGACTCGTCCAACCCATGTAAAGGAACAGTCTACCTTGTGACCACAGACTTCAAATTTGGCCATGTCCCAGGTCGTGTTCTTGTGCGTAGGGCGTTGTACGTGTCCGAACTGTGTTTCGTAGGTCGCGTAGTCGTTCTTGATGTTGAGGGGCAACTCGAACTTGAGGAACTCGTGACGCTGATGCCAGTCGACCTGGGCATCGAAGCGGAAAAACGAACGGGAGTTCTTCTTGAGCGAAGCCGGGATAGCATCCAACGAAATCTGATACGACGAATGTAGCGTCACGATATGGCTCAGGAATGCCAGAAACGTACCAGAACACTGATATCACTCTGACCGTACTTGACGTTGGCCTTAAGTGAGGCACGGAGAGGGCCTTCCGCCGCGATCGAAACGTTCTCGAACTTGAGCTTCCTGAACTTTTCTAAGTGGTGGATCTCGACGTCTGTGTAACGGAGTGAGCATGTACCACGTACGACCACTCAGGATCGTTCATACCCCATGCGTCCCAGTAGTTGGGCCTGTCATCAAAGATGACCAACCCCCCAGTTTCACCAGTCGGGATCAACTCGCGCCTGTGAATTAAGAGTGTCAGCGAGTTTCTGAGTAGCGAAAGAGCTGCCGGGCTTACTCAAGCGCGACGTCATAGAGGCTGCTTATACGACCGTCGGCGATGGTTAGCTGCACACTCGAGTTCTTCAGCACGAAGTGATCAACGGTCACACGAGTGACTGCAAGACACCTCGTCAATCTCACTATCATTGTAAAAAAAGATACGAACATACCGGAAACAGGCTTGCAGTCCGCGTACATACCCGTACCGAACGCAACACCTCCACCAGCCGTGCAATCCATCAATGCCAAGCCGACACTTCCGTCCTTAGACGACTGTACAACCTGCGAACGCAACTTTGACGCGGCACCAGTAAGGGGTATCTCGACGATGTCACGACGAGGGAAGAACGTCGTGTTATAGCCAACAATTGTGCCAGTCTTTTTCTTGAAGGTGGGGTCGGTGAGCGAAACGGAGGAAGGGAAGATCGCTTTGAAAGCCTCCTCAATTAGCGCCTCGCCCTCCTTGCGAACCTCTGCGTAGAGCTTTTCCGCGTCGTCATAGACCATGCCGCTGAACGTTCCTTGATCAATAGATATACATCTGCAGAATTGAAGAGTGTGCTCACATGGCGGATCCCGGAAGTACTGGCAAAGAAAAGCCATTAACCGTACGGCAACCGTCTAAGCTCACTCTTAGACTCACCATCATGGACTGGTCGACCGGAAAGCAATTAATAACTACCTCTGTATATAGGACATTACTACTCACATTGGTTGAGCAGCACCTTCTCCCAGCAATCGTTGATCCTCACGTTCGGGTACACGTAGTCAGTCTTGTGGAACCTGAACAAGCTCGCGAACGACGCGAGGATCTGCCGGTCCGCGCACGTAAATACCTTTCACACGGCCCGGGGAGGACGGAGCATGCCAAACGCACCTCAACGTCACGAAGTAGGATCTCCGACTTCCTATTGCCCTTCTTAATAGAGCCTAACTCAATACCTCAGCTGCGTGGTTCTCGGGCGGAATCGCGAAACGCACCATGTGATGTATATGTTCCGCGGTGGAACTAGCCAAAACTGCTCAGGATCTCTTCTACCAACCAGTGACTGAGGGGGATGCAGCATACCTCGAGATACAGCTCACCACTCCAGTTCGGCAGCTTCGCCCCTGCGTTGGAATCCTCGGAGAGGACGTCGAAAAACTCGTCCACGGAATGACCCATATTGACTGGAGGGATGTCACGGGAGTGATTGGACGTCGCACGAATGCGACGCAACTACACGAGGACAGGAGGATTCCACGGTAAGCACGGATGATTTGCATTGCGACGAGAAACACCCACGTTCTCCAACATCTTTGCGAGGGGACCACCTCCACCATCACCATTGCCGAAGACGAGTAAGGAGGTCCCAGAGGACTCCAGGTTCTGTTTGCGATACCCTGTTGGTTATCTATCCGGCCAAAAAGAAAGTGATGATTGCACCTTATGATTCTCAACACCCTTCTTGACGTCCCCGACGGTGGCCTGCGCCGTGTACGTGTCTACTCGCGGATAACATGTCAGCTAGTCAGTATCCACCACGTTGTATAATGGCATGGCGGCGTGGCGGGAAGTATGAAAGTCAAAGACGCACCGACAGGCGTCATGTGGCAGAGAACCTGCGTCCCATCGATACCCACCCAGTTGAACGTGGAGTGGGGGAAGTTGTTGCTGTCCATATTCGCGGAATCTCAGATTCACTTTCCCTGATACATCGATGGAAAAGTCTGCACTCACATGTTGTTCCTGCAACAATTCCGATTCGACACGCAAATCGTCAGTGTATGGACCCACACAACCACACCAATCGTCCGATCCCTCGGTGCCCGATGAGATACAAGATTGCATTTCCAAGGCCACTCACCATGACAGCTTCTGCGTGAAGAAGTAGTCCATGTCCGCGAGCCGGATCAGCTGCGGGAGTGCCCCCGTCAGACCGAACGAGTCGGGCAGCCACGCGGTCTTGCAGCGGACGCCGAAGCGGGATTCGAAGTACCGCTGCCCCAAGATGAATTGGCGGGCGAGCGCCTCTCCCGAGGGCATGTTCGAGTCGTTCTCAACCCACGAGCCGCCCACGGGGTGGAACTTGCCTTCTTTGATCTTCTCCTTGACGCGCTCAAAAAGAGGAGGGTAGAGCTGCGAGGAAACATGTGAGCATAGGAGGGAAGCGGAGTGAGGAAGGAACACACCTGCTCGAGCCACTTGTACTGCTGTGCTTGACTGCAAGTGAATCGGTGCTCCGGGTAGCGCTCCATGAGGTCGACCTGGGTAGACCACGAACGTGCTACCTTCTGTTGGGTGACGCGGTACGGCCAGAGCCTAGATCTACTTTGAACAACAAATCCGAAAAATGGCTGCAAGCAGCGGAGCTTACCAGGCAGTATCAATGTGGCAGTGGCCGATACCCCACACCTGCGCCTTCTTCGCACCTTCCTCGTATATCTTATCGCCCTTCTTATCCCAATCCTCGCCGAATACTTCTTCTGCTAGCTTCCGCGCATGATTGATGCTGCCGACGTCACCCTTGTCGAAGACGTTCATAATCTCGTTCGCGACCGTCAAGGCTTTGTTCTGTAGCGCGGTGTTTCCCGGTATATTGTCCGTGATCTCACGAAGGGTCTGGAAATCCCAGAGAAGGTGCCATGCATCCAGGTTCAGGACGACGAGGTCCGCGGACCTCAAGCCGAAGAACCTGTTCATCTTAGGCAGAGGTTAGCGCTCGGGACCAAGCAAGCAGCTCGCCAAACCAGCCCAATTGCTTATCCGTGACACTCGTCGGGAAGTGTCGATGTGTGCATAGTGGAGAGTAGCGTAGACTCCTTTTCCACTGGATACAGGCTGTATCCTAAGCATACTACCAGGGGTACACGTATGTTTCTCCAGCCCGCGCGGAGGCTGTCAAGTGTGCTAATAATAGAACTCACGTCGGGAGGGGCGATGGTATCACCGTTCCACGGAACACCAAACATGCCGTTGCAGCTAGATTCAATGACGAACTCGTGCTTTCCAGCTTTGACGGCCTCGCGAGGGATGATGTACTCGACGCGCCGGTCGCCTCCCCACCCACCGGTGATGCCTTGGAGAGGTGTGCCATCGGTGGTGAAGATCATGGCCTCACAGTCAGGGTCGAACTCAACTACTTGCTGCGTTAGATGCTGCCCACGCATAGCTGATTAGCACGTACACTGGACCTGTTCATACTGCTCCCAATACGTAGGGATCGTCAGGGAAACCTTGAACCAGTGGTTCGTCTAGGTGCCAGTTAGTAGCCCGAAAACATGCACATATGACTAGCATCCCATACCCCTGCAGCGCGTCAGACCAAAAGCATGCACGAGAACTTGATATGATACTCACAAGATGGACCAAAATTCTCCCCTTTCCGCGCTGGCCTGAACTTCTGCTTCATGGCCTCCTCGAAGCTCGGCTTGGTGAGACCCGGGGCGCTCCATACCTCCAACTTGACATGCTCCTGGTTGTCGATGCGGTGGATATAGAGCACTGAGGACAAGTTCACGTCCGAGAAATGGCCACCGTTGAACGTCCCCAAGCGATTCTGGGTGAGGTGCTTGATCCACTTTGCACCAGCACCATAGTTCTCCTTCGGATAACTCAACGACTCGGGGTGGTGGTGGTGATGCGAATGTCCGTGGTGGTATTGCGCCATTGTCGAGGCTGGATACGAGGGAGCGACCACGACGAGAGGGAGGTGTCGACGCCGACAGCGACGTCGGCGGCTACAACCCTGATCGCGACCATTAGGCGCTGTGTGGGGTATTGATCGGCCCGGATATCCGAACAGCAGTTCCGCCACAAGTACATGGTTATGACCCAATTCAAGCCGCCTCAAACAACGCAGAGGCTGAGCGAGAGGTTGCGAGGGACGACATACATACTAGTTCTTGTGGCTAATTGAGGAGAACACATCAGCCCTTGCCTTGATGCAACCGGACGCACCCGGGAGGAGGACACAAGCAATATGTTCGATACACCTGCTGAGCGATACGGTCTATCTATACATTCTTCGCGCAACTAGAAACCAGGATAGCAACCATCGGCGTCGCGATGTAGTATACAATAAAATTCAACTTCATCTGAGCGGTTAGCGTGATTAGTCCATGATAGGTCGTACCAGTGCGGTGCACTACAAGAAGTCCAGGAAGTTGTCTTTCGAAGTGTCTAGAGCCGTTTACCGCGGTCAATAGCCTCCATCGCAGCATGTGCTCGGACATGAAGCTGGTTCTGTGGTAATAGGTTGTGATAGTAGTCAGCATTATCTCTAAGGAACGAAAGACCGCAGCAGTGCGAACCTCCATACTGAACTTGCCCTAACAACAGAGATCTCAGCACCTCAACCAGACTTGGACTAAAGAAGTAGAGTAGTCGTACCTTCCGAGAACCAGGAGCCACCTCGAGTGGCTTGCCTACGAGTGGACGCGTACCAGCATTCATGAGTCCACGTCCGTTCGCCCGTCGGCATCGGAAGCGAAAGACAGCTCACCAGACAGAACCATCTCCAAGTGTACCCGCGCTCCCTCCTTGTCTCCTTGACACGCCAGTAGCCGTGCGTACTCGAAGTCTGCCCAATTTTCAATTTCAAAAGTACAACCGTCAGCACCGCTTACCCAGCAATACGGCGGAGGCCCAATCGGACTGACACCACTTACGTGCGTGGTACACCAAGTAGTGGTCGTAGACAATCTTCGGGCCGTCGCGGAAGATTTGCTCGAACGCCGACTTGGCGTCCTTCTCCGCCCCTGCGCGCTTCTCCAATATGTCTCGGTCATCTGCTCCATCCAGGACGGCGTCCGGGTCTGGGTACGCGATGTACCGAAGGCAGATCGCGCGCAAGAAGTTCGCGAGGCACTTGTCGTCCCAGAACTCGTCGGCGCCCGCGCCGTTGCCCGAGCCATATTGTCCGGGATCCGCCGCATGCTTCTCCACTTCGGTGAGCTGCTCGTCGACGAGCGGCAGCATGCGCTTCTGCAGGACGTTGCGGGGCGCGTGTGCGATACCCAAGAAAAGGTACGCAAACTCGAGCGCTGAGAGGGCGAGCCGCCCGCCTTGCTGTTGGAACTTCCGTGCTTTGCGTGCAACGAATTTCTAGGTTCATGGTTGCCGCCGGTCCACACCCCACGATAACGCAACGATGATGGCAAGTAGAAGAAGTTGGGAATGCATCGGGCCCCGCAACGCATGGCGAACATGTGTCAATGAGAAAAGAAGTGGCGCAGGTGGGTTTCGCGCGTAAGTACATGATGGTGGCGCGAGGATACGGAAACTTACCTCCAGAGGTATCGACTTACCCGCGATACGCTTGCGCAGCGCCGGAACCCTCTCCATGAGGTTGGAAATTTCCTCAGTATGCTTCTCCCCGCCGATCTGCAGCAAGCAGACCGCTACGCCGTATGTGTACGTTGACTTCGACCACTGTGCAGCCAAAGCGGCGCCACGTCGTCAGTTACCGACTATGAGCAGCCAACTCTCCGTCGCAATATGGTCTGCCCGAGCCGATTTGGGTAGGAGGAAGGGAAGAAGGGAATGTGGGCAAAGCACAGCCCGATCGGGGAACACGGCCAGCCAGAGTAGACATGAGACAACGAGCTGGGTAACGCGACGTACCGAAGCCTCTGCTGCCAGCGTGCGCCAATGTTCCAATGACGCTGAGACGTCCCACAGGGCCAGGTTGGTTATGGCCATTTCCCAGAACGATATATGATGCAGGTTCCGATACTGTTCCTGAGCTTGCAGCGCCTTTCGGTAGTACTCGAGCGCTACAGCAGGCTGGCTGCGGACCAAATGTAAACGGCCTTGGCCGAACAAGAAGAAGACACCTGGACGGCCGGCGGAATCCACTGTCAGCGCTTCGGAAAGCCACAGAGAAACCCTCGCCTCGCCGAGGAATCAAAATCAAAAGCGAGGAATTGAAGCAAGATTACGGACAGCGGCAGGCAACGCGCGCTATTGGAAGACGCCCATCTGGGACGTACGACGCAAGCGCGCAAGATACAATACAGCAGGAATAGACAGTGCTGTAAGTGGACCTAAGAGCCACGTACGTACCGTTCGGATAGCGCTTGATGTGATAGTCGAGTATCTTCTGCGCCATGCGGATATCAACCCCCTCGAACGTCAAGCTAGAGAGGACCAGATGGAAGATGAGCAGCGACATGTCACAGATAGCGCGCCGCACTCCCTCCTGCGCTACTCCCACACATGCCGTGCGTCAAAACCAACACGTGATCGAGGGTGGGCCGATGAGCAGAGCAGCGAAGGAATGAACGGAGATAGACGTACCTAGGCCGACCGAGGGCTCGTCCGACTCGGCTGTCCAGCCTCCTGCCCGTTGTAGGTACGCGAGGCCCGCGTGGCGGTCGCCCTTGTACCCAAAAAGCTCGACGATAGTTAGCAGGCGTGACGGCATCACCGACAGTATAAGGTTTGAGAGGCCGACGCCAAGGTAGACACCGGATCGGAAATCGGCGTCGATGGATATGTCCTCGGGACCCTTGCCTTTGGCTTGAGCTTCCGCGTCCATAGCCTCGATGTACTTGCCGAGCTGGCGGTAGATGCTGATTGTGGTTCTCATGTTCAGGCTGAAACGGAGTGATAAACAATCGCGCTAATTTGGGGAACAAACGGTACGGTACATACGCTTCCTTGATGAACGCAAGCCAGTCTCCGGAATATACGATACCCAACAGGGCCTGAGAAAATAGGGAGAGTGAGAATGCATGAATGTGCAGCCTTGAGTAGCCGAATAGAGGCACAACATCAGCACCGCGTCCGCGGCGGAGCAGTCACCCAGGGCACCATAGACAAATTCGCAGGCCGGCGAACATGCCCATGAGGTAAAAGCCAAAGGTTCTCTCCGACCTTCAGTACACAATCTTGCGTGGGTAGTCTGTACAGGGCCAAACCTTACTAGGATTATTCTGTACAATGTGGCGAACATACGCTACATTGTACAAAAAAGCCACGACGTCACACACCAGTCGGATATGGAAACTTGCGCTCCAGGAAACGTCTCGTGAGTAATCGGTATCGTCCAGTCTCATGAAAAGCTAGAAGATCGGACTTTACAAAGGCCGTGAGCGCAATCGGACGAAGGCCGTGTGGTCTTCCATGCACGTTGACTTCGCAAGCGAATAACCAAGTTGGTGTGTGGCATTCGTGAGATCCTCGTCCTATCACCGACCACAGAAGGATCCGTCGCTGATCGCAGACACACCGACTTCGAGCACACCCGCAGCTTTGGCTGAGCCCCAATCCGAGAAGGCCAAAGTGTGTAGAGGGTTCCGGAGAATCTCAGAAGACGAGGTGCATCCAGCTCATCGACGTGAGATCGCTAGCAACGATTCATACGCGTGAAGAGGCGTTTTGCCTCCTATTCCGGACCTCCAATGGCTCTCGCGACGTGCCTTGCCATATGAGTCCAACAGCAATCATACCAGTGTCAACGAGAGGGGATGCACGGTGGCAGTGCCCCGATGTCGGCACAAGCTGATCTCGGCGCCTGGGCCCTTGATTGTAAGGTTTGAAGAATGCAATCAACACGCAGATGGAAAGGGGGCTACGGGACCCGCAACATGATAAGCCCGGTCACCAAACAAACCCACGAAAAGACTGAAACTTGGAAGAGAACGTAGAGAGTTCAATCCCCGATGGATATCAAGCAGAACGTCGGGGCGAACAGCCCACGCTGGCCTGTGGCAGTCAGTCCGAGACGTCTGTGGTTTGAATCTCACGAGCGTCGGAGCCTTTACCCCTCGGACGTTCGAGCAAGATGTTCCCCCAAGGCCGCTTACCACGACTTAGCTCCGCCTGAAGCACACGGAGATCTGGGGACGACCTGAGTAAAACCGCAGTACCGGACTTCTGACCTGGATTAGGCCATGACCGTTCGGGTTCGAAACCACATAATGACAGCACACCTGCCCGAGAAGAAGCGGAGACCGAATTGAGATGAACTTCGACCTTGAACCACTCACCTTCTCGAACAAGCTCTCAGCGTAAACTAGCTCAGCATGCCGTTCTACGGGAGTCATGCTCTTGATGAATCCGACGCCCGAGGTGTTCAGGGAGCCGACCACTAGGCCGGCCAAGCGAGTAGGGAGTGATGCCGCACGCTTCCTGTGCTGGCTGGCAATGCCATTGCCGTGTCGGACTTTTGCGATGGCATCGACTAAATCCTGCGGATGAATGATTAACATTGTATCAGAATGGAAGATGGAAGAGTCGAAGGGGAAATCGAGGTTTTGTACCGAGAATAGAAACATGAGGAACAGCCTCACGTGCACAGCCGGAAACGGCACAAGCCGATTCAGGACATTCTGAGGGCAGAGTGCAACCGGAAAGTCAAAGCAGAAGAACGCATCTCAATTCCACAATCACCACCCACGAAACACCGCGAGATGATATTCGAGAACATGCATTCAGCCTGCCTGATGGAAACCGGGGCGTATCCGCTAGTTAGAGAACGACGCCCCCGTAGTGCATGTTTCGGCCAAGAAGGGACAGTCAAGGAATCCGATGAGCCACATTTTTACTAGAGGGATGGCCAGAGTGCGCTGGTTGTCACCGCCCGCCGAACTGCGTAAATTGACGCAGTGCCACTGACGAAGATTGTCTTTGAAATGGGCGCGAATCCACCAAAAGAGATAGCTCTCGAGGCATCTGTCTTGCACCCAACCACCCACCGGGCGCCACAGGGGACTGCGAGAGGCGCGTCTTCAAGTTTCCATCCACTGGGAAAATAAATGGTCTGCGAACCACGATCACGGAGCATCGCACGATGTACGACGCACCACCCAGTCCGCACCAAGGTCGACGTGTCATGCTAGGGTGGGTTAGTTAACCCTGACGAAGATGGGGAAGCGGACGCGTCAGAATCAGCCCTCGGACGTTCTATCCAGAATCGACGCCGTTTTCGAGATCCGTGGACAACGCACGGTCAAGCCCGCAAATCAACCGTAAACGAAGTTGATACCAGGCATGAGCCTGTGCGCAATAGCTCGGCTTGGTCCGGCGCACATTAATCCCCTGAGCGTTGCCAACTCGGCGGTGCGCTCGCTCGCAAGGGAGCACGCAAGCGCACGAGGTGTAGAGATCCGTGCGAGTAGGATTGATATTCTGGGAGCTCAGACGCCTTGCTTGGCAAGCAAGACATAGGGCCCGAGCCTCTGCATCATTGTCTTTCTCCGAGACATATCCGGGGAGAGCCGTTAGATATCTCATGTCCGGCGATTCCACAGTGCCCGAAACATTTCTCCTGTGGCAGAGCGGCAGGCCATGAGACGAAGATACGGCAGACAGCATCTGGCGTATGTCCGGCAACTCAACAGCTACACGGCTCGCATGATGTTGAATAAGCCAGCCAAATAAGAAAAGGCAAGTCGTTGAACTAGTCCGTGGGATTGCACCGACGCCCATCCAGGACATCGCACGTCCGCTAGCAGGTTATGTGAAAACTCCCAACCATAACTGGGTGACCAAATGCCTTGGTCGTCGGAATAGGCCTGAACACTCCAAGCGGTCTATCTCATCTCACCAACTGCAGCGCTCAACAGCAGAAAAGTGATGAAACATGGGGGGATGAAGGGAAGTACGAGATTTAGGGTAGGTAAACTGTACTCACCTCGTCCTCGAAAGACATCAGGCCCTTCACACACTGGATCAGGCCGAAACCTGTGGCGACATACAGCCGTTCCCTGCACGCGTCCAAGTGGTCCACGACAGCAGCCAGGCGACAGTGAGGGGGCAAATTTCCCGAAGGGCAGAGGCAGAGGGATGTGTGATGAATGACGCGCGACCAACACGATGAAGAAGGCAACTCACATCCTCGGGTCGTATTCCTTGCAGAACTCTTCGGACTCGACCATGTGAGACCGCAGGAAGACGTGGAGAGCATAGGATATCGCAGGAATGTCATCCAGAGCGTTCTCCGGGCGATATGAAGTCCTCGGCAGTGGAGGGGCTGGGTTAACCCACAGCTCGTTCTTCCCCGCGGGCTCGGGCTCGGAGGCGTCGGTAGACACTGGCGCCAGCTTTGGCTCCTGGAGGACGTCTTGCTCGTCGGCCATTAGAGTAGACGAGTGAGTAGGCTGTGGGGGACGTCGAATATGTCGACGAGTGCGGTGTCACCAGCGCTCGGGAGCAAGGGGAATACGACGGACGAGTGCGAGGTCGGGCCGGGACGGTACCGAGCGGAACACAGCCAGTTCGACAGAACTCTGTTGATCAAATGCGCACGCTTCAGGGCCTGCTTTCTACGTCTGCCGTAAGGACAGGATTGAGCCTGGTCGCGGAGGAGGTGCAAGGCAGTGAGTACGATGCAGGGGGGATGACGGCGAGTGGTGGGTGACGACGAAAGGACATCGTCGGCTCGGCAAGGGCGCTGGCGGCGCCCCGATTTGGACGCGGTCATGTGCGGATACGCGCCCTGGCGGGGACGCCGCTGCCAACCACGAGGACCCTCCTCCACCTCTTGGAGCCTCTCATCTGCAGCCGCACCCGACTTCTCCTGATTCAGGTCCTGTAGTATTGCAACCAGCAGAGGACTTCGCATCGCGCCCGAAATCGGATATCGCCCCGCCACTTGGTTTCCACAGGACGTCCGCCGTGACCTTCATCATTTACGAGTCGTGTTTCTGAGACCGTCGAGCGGAGACGATCACGTTCAAGAATCTGTTTTTGACCGATCGGAGGATACATATGTTGGTTATGGGAGAGGCTTCGGGTGAGAGTCGATGCGCCGACGTATCAGTGGCGCACTTCCGTTCCGGCGCGTTGCACCACGTTCTGTCACCCGGTATAGAGGGCCTGCCTCGTGGATACTGACCATCGGCGTAGTTGTCGAATAACCTCCTGCGTACGTAAAGCTAAATGTCTGCCGGAACCTCCACATACAGTGATTGCGCAAACGATCGTGATGCCATGTCGTTTGACATGATCTACGCTCCAGCAGCCTCGGTTTGGGAGTCGGGCAGTGCAATCCTAGGAACGGGGGCGCGAACTCGACGTTCTGACGTCCTTAGATGGCAAGTTAGCTGGAGGCGTCTCCCGACGTAGTCTTGTCGGAAACGAACTACGAGTTAAACGAGCATGAAAACGATGCGATGACTCTGATATCCCGCTTCTCTTCGCCTCTGCTATCGCTTATTCTCCCTGCCTCGGGGCCATATGCCTCCTCGATAACGTACCATCTGTGCGACCATATGGTCGTTCAGTCCGCCACCGAGGAGTTCACAGCTACTCCTGGCACCCTTCGGTTCCTCGCTGGGCACAAACGCTGCAGCCGGTCCATCGGTACCTCATGCTGATGTTCAGCATTCCCATGTTATAGGTCGCTCCCACTCGGAGTTTGATTCCGCTGCGGCACGTCGTCCACTCGCAACAAAAACACGACGCCTCAGGAACTTCTCTGCTTTCTGACTTTCACTGGCCTACGCCACGACTCGGGTCATCTTACAAAAAGCAGGCCCACGCTGACCAACGGTATTGATTCAGAGCTTGGGAGCCGTGAAATTCCCCGATCCGGAGGAAGCTGTCGGGCGTTGTGTCGTAATAGCCTGATCGCATTCCATAGTAGATGCAGGTCTCGTTACCAACCTGCTGCTATATGCCATCAAACGACTGACAAGAACACGCTGACAGGCTGATGTGCAGGCACACGTGGATATCGCGCGAGCTGAACCTCGTTCAGACGTTTGAATGATGCTGGGTATCTGATGTCGACAGCTGGGCGTAACCCTCTGATCCGATCTTGAATATGTACAGGAAGCATAATGCTACATAAGTACTACATACTTACGCACGTCGCACACTCACAGTGCGAGGCCGCTGTCAATGATTGGCCGTCTTTCTCCGCCGCAAGTGCTGTCCATCGACATCCCGACGTCCACGTCCAGATTTACGTTCACATTCCATCATCGATCCTATCGGCATGGGACCCTGGAGCTAGATCCCGATACGGCAGCTCGAGTGCACTGCGGGCTTGCCCCCAGCATCGGCACTTTGTTCGTCATGAGAATACGAAAGCCAACGCCGGCCGACTACTAGTAAGAGCCCCACTTCGACGGACACCCGAAGTTGGAGTCGCGAGTCAGAGTACTCGTACGTACTGCGGACAGCTTCCAATACGATTCGTGTGCGCCATGCGATGCACGCGACGCGCGATGTGAGATGGGCGAAGTATGGGCGACGTCGGACCTTCGCCGCCGACCACCCCCTACGAGGGCGAGCAGCCGGAATCTGCACGCACTCTTGTTCTGAGCGACCAACGTGAGGCCCAGAAGGGCATGGCGTTTCCCATCCACTCCCCGTAGCACTCTCCGACAGGCCGCTGCGCTCGAAACGGTCCGTGTGCGCCGACGCCGACGTATTCTGGCTACTGGCTTTCCTTGTTAACGCCACGCTCGCGCTGGCGTCTCCTTCCCGCGAACGCGCGCCAGCTCTACCCCACAGTCCTGGCACCCACGACAGGACAGGACACTGACAGCGTCAGGCAACCCAGACCCTTCCTCGCCGGCGACCAACGCGAACGCACACCCATCGCGCGGCCGCCCACCCGGTACGCCACAAAACCCGTACGCAGCACGCGTCACCGCGGACGCATCTCGTCCATCCAATTCCCGCAAACGTCCTCCCCCTCGCCCTCTTTGACAGCTCGGACTCGGGCTCGCGAGCGCAATCGGAGGGAGCAGGGCTGAGCCCGCGTCCGCGACGCTGCCTCCACCTTCGAGAAGGTGGTCCTGCGACAGTCGGTGTCCTGTACGCAGCGCATCTCGAGCGATATGTCGCGGCAGCACTTGCAGGGTCGCGCACCGAACGGCCCCCCCCCCCCCCGCCCGAGGTGTCTCCGCACGGCGGGGCTAGAAGCCCACGCCTCCTCCGCCCGGCCCTGGGGCAATGTAATGCAATCTGCATGTATACGCACTATATCTATATGGGCGCACCGACACATACGTTCACCCGCGGCCGCACGCGCACTTGCGGTGGTTCTAGCGGGCACTATAGCACAGCTGGTGGCCGTCGGAATCTGACGACCTGATCTCGCCTCCGCGCGCCCAGACCCGGGTGCCGCACCTGCTTCTTCCGCCAGCCCTGCGCGCGCGCGGGTGCAGACAGGGCGGAGGACGACGAGCACGGAGTGTTTGCATAGTCCGCGCGCGAAGCCGGGCATTAGACTCACGCCCGGCCTTACCTCCCTCGGGCGCCTCCCGCGGCCTCTCCCCGGCGCCAGGGCTGCGGCACTTGGGAACATCATGCCTTCCAGGAATCGGGGAGCCTTCGAATTCCACTGGACGGATCTACTTGACGGTCTGGGTGTCCCACGATGACGTGAGGTGTGCCGATTATCGAATTCGTCCCGCGACTCTGGTTTCAGCGGGAGCTGTGAACATGCCACCCCCCGGCGCTACAGGCCACGCTGCCACTGCGAGTGTCCTGCGTGGGCCACTATGGTGACGAGTGCCTGGCGCGGCGCGCCTGGCGACCTCCGGGACCGGCGAAAAGCTGACGTCTGACAGTGCGCATACGCAGAGAAGATGTTTGATCACTGGGTATATCATTGCCTGGAAAGACATGCTAAGCATAGACAGCAGTAACGGGTAGTAACCGAGATGTCTGTAATGCAACGAGAGCGCATAGCGATAGTACAACTACAAGAAAGCGTGGACAACAACAACCGGGGCGAATAAATAGCGCAAAACCTATACTGGCTAGATATACAGTGGGGGGGTCGGTGCAATTCTATGAGCAAATAATGTATGGCCGAGACGGTGACGACGACGACGGCGGCCACGCGACAGTCCGACGACGGGGGTGCTGTTATGTGCGCGCAAGCCAAATGCAGAGGGAGTCCGATCCAATGCCAATGCTGAAACTCGAGACACCAGCCCACGACAGCAGGCTCAGAACTCAGAACGCGGAGTGGTACCCTCGCGACTGGTGCTGCGGCGCCACCGGGGGCATGCCATACGCCCCACCCGCGCTGGCGTACCCGGACGGCGCAAGCTGCGAAGCAGAAGCCTGGCTGCTGCTGCTCCCCGCCGACACGGTGGGGTGGGGCAGGGGTAGGGGAAGCTGCTGACTGTGGTGTTGGCCCTGGCCGTGCGTGTACGCCCAGGCCGGCTGGGTCGCCGAGGTCCACTCGACCGGGCTCAGCGGCTGCGAGCAGAAGCCGGGGATCGAGTACGACGGCGAGCTGTCGCGGTCGCTGGGGTACGGCGAGTCGGAGCTCGTGCTGAGCGCGTGGGCGGTCGCGGGTGGGAGCATCTCGTCGCTCTCGTAATCCACCTGTGGCGCGGGCAGAAGGAAGAAGAGGGGGGGAGGCGCGGGTCAGCGTGGGTCGCACAGGCGCGGACATGGAAGAGAGGCTCGCCGGGATCACAGGAGACAGGGCGGCAGGGGGACAGGGATAAGGGGCGGGGCGTGGGGATCCCGGCGAATAGAAAATAATGCGCACCTCGAGATCGTCGTCGGCAAGCGCGAAGGGCGACAGCGGCGGTGCGCTCGTCGTGTTGAAGTGGTAGTGGATCATCATCACTGGGATCGGCTTCTGCGTCGGGTTGGCCGGCTGCTTGGTGATCTCCTGGACGATGATGTACGGCGACAGGTCTGGAGACAGAAACAAGTCAGGGAAGCGTCCTGCCACGAGACGTGGAGGAATGAAGGGCGTACCGGCACAGGTGCAGAGAGTATCCCAGTAGCCGGGTGCGAGCGTTGCGCAGTGTAGGTAGGAGCTCGTGCCGAACCCGTCCGTCATGCGCATCTTCATCGCCTTAGGTTGGTCGATGTGCATGACCGTCGAGCCGCAATAAACGGTGAAACTCGACCACAAGGTCATCGGGGCTGGAGACGTGAACGTCACAGTTGGGTCGATGGCCCGGAGAGGCCGGGGCTCGCCCCAAGAGTACGCCGAGCTTGAGAGGATGTTGACCTCTGTTTGGCGCGACGTCTGGCCGTACGTCTCGGTCCAGGCGGCGGAAGGCGTAGGGACGCTGATGTACACGTGGATGACTTGATTCATGGGAGGAAGCATGCCTCCGTTCCCGTTGAAGTAGACGTCGGCCATCCCCATGTCTTGCGGCGGCTCGCTCGGCCTGGTGGGATGCATCATCTCATAATGGCGATCGGAAATCGCCTTCATGACTACGGGAAGAGAAGTCAGATTCTCGATCAACTGGCGTACAGACAGATACCGGGGGGGGCAGATGCTGGCATCCACAATCCCCGTCTATCAATCGCGATACTCACTTGTTTTGCCCGCACTGGTGTCTCTCAGCTGCTGGATGCGGCTGCCGACTTGTTTGGCCGTCCGGATCTCGCCGGTTTTCTTGAGAATGTACTCCGCGATGAACTTGTTGCGATTTGGGAAGCGTGTCAAGCCTCGGGGGGACTTGGACTCGGCGGGCGTATACTTTTCGAGACCTGCAAATAGCTTAGTTACAGAGATTAGAGAAAGGGCGAGAAGGGGGGCAGACCTTCCATAAGTGCCCGTTCAAGGTGCGGAGGCCAAACGACCTCATTCTTGTCCTTCGACATACGGTAGCATTTGCGACCAGCGAGGATGGTCTGAAAGTTCTTGGTGGGGTTTGCGGGGGCGGTCTCGAAAGACATGCTGGAAGAGAGTAGAGCCGAAGGTTATATGGTAGTGAGAGGGACTCCTGGGGAGGAGGAGATCGGGGAGGGTTATCGAAGGGGAGAACTGAGTGGTGAAGCGAAGGGAGACTGCCTCGCGACATTTGAAGAGATTGTGGGCGCTCATGACCTTGGGCCGGTTTGTAGAAACCCTGTACGGCACTGTGGACCATATCGATGTACCAATCCACTTGCGGAAACGGAGTCTCCCAAGTGCTGAGACCCGCACTGTCGGAGATAGCCCTCACGTCAAGGGAACTCAATCACTTTCCTCGGAATAGCTCGAGCGGCAGAGCAGACGCAACGCAAGCACCGCATGACAAGCGTGGTATGCAAAGAAATGAAAGAATCTGGCGCATGCAAAGAATTACGCTGAGAGGACCGTGATCCGTGGGCCGGCGGAGGGGTGGACGTTTGCGGCAGGGCTGGAAGGGGCATGACGTTACGTCTGGGAATTTGCCGGGTTGCTGTGAAGTCGGGCTGGGGGTGCGGGCGAAAACAATGGAATTCGGAGGCCTGTGAGCGAGCGAAGAACACGCCATGCCAGACGCCTTCTTCGAATGCGCGCGGGAGCGATGGGGAGCTAAGAAGGATTACGCAGCCCTGCCACCCTGGGCTATGGCGCTTCCCCTCCTCCTGCCAGGCCACGTTCGCGGAGGCGTCTCAGCTTTCGGTCCAAGTCACGCTTCGAACAGCTACAGCCCATCTACCCACGCCTCGACTTCGTACACACTCCTCCCATGGAAATCAACGACAAGTCCGACGAATGAAACTTCCTCGACCGCATCATGATCGTTTCTTCTCGCTTTCCTCTAGAACATGTTTCGCCAGTCAAGCTTCAATTGCTGATAGGGAGCACGACGACAATGAGTGACAAAACACAGTTCTCCACTCACCTGCACTCCACGGTCCCAATGCGATGGCTCCACAGCGACGCTTCCCGGCACCCATCTACGTTCTGACCCGTTGGATCTCGGAGTACACAGCGCTGTCGCTCTCGCTACCGTCGTCTGCTGCTAACATTAATGGACCCTGCCAGCGAGGAGGATCGTCCGTCATAGCAGGGCTCGGCGAATCGAACGCAGCGCGCAGGTGCGGCGTCCGCGTACCCGACCTGCCACTTCTGCCATGCGCTTCTCGCCGTAAGGTGCAATATCTGCGTCGCTCCGGACGGGCGAGCACGAGGATGTCGGGAGCTAACGAGCTGCGCCTCACCGGCAATTTTCGCCAGCGGTAGTCCAGCCCAACGAATTCGGGTCCGGAATAGGCAGGTACAAGTGCCCGGGAAGCGGGCGCTCTGACGTCCAATTGATTTTTTGTGTCGATCAAGCTGTGCCGGTGCGAGGACCACTGGCGATGACCACAGCTCCAGGATTCGCGGACAATCCCAACCTCCTGCTTACGGTCGCCCTGACGCGCTTCTCCACGCGAGTCGGCGCCGCGCCCCTCACGCATAGGATGTGGACAGAAATCGCGCTACGCCTCGCGAAATCTTCGCTGCGGTGACATACGACCAACATGGCGATGTGCAAACGCGTATTCACTTCACGGAGGTGGTGTGCCTACGACTATACGATGAACGCAAAATGTCCAGAAAGGTAATATACGAGCAAGACGTGTCCGATGTAAAGCGATGTGTGCAAGTCTATAGAGAAAGTAGTATGTCCATGGTCTAAGGAATTGTGATGGGTGGGTGCTCTATTGCGTATGCGAGGCTGCTGACCGAACTCTATCTACGGTAGACAATCGTCCGAGCGTCCGTGTCGTCTACGCACAGTCCTGTACGAATCGTCATCAAGCCAAATCATGAACCTTGAAAAATTGCGCACAGCCAGTGCCGCGGGGAAGGCACACCGCGGGCCTGCTCAATCAATCAGCTGCGAGCACGCCCAGGGACACGGTGCGCCCACTCCCCCGCCGAAGCTCAGCTCTATCCGCACACGCGGGACTAGAAGGAGTGAAGGAGAAGGAGAGGCCAAGGCACGTCCGAGAGCGTAGGAACGACCGGAAATTAAACGCGTCCATGAGCTTCTTTGTGGTAACCGCTTCCGGAGGAACCCCGGTCCGAAGCCGTCTGCGAGCTCATCTTGCGATCGACCGAGTCCTGGATGACTTCCTCTGGCTTCGCCATGAAGATCTTGCCCTTGACGAAGGCCCATGCGGTGAGGAAGAAGAGAATCAGCCAGACCGCGCACATGAGGATGGTCATGACGAGGTGCCAGGTGTGGAAGCCCCGCAGCTCGAAGATGTCCCCGAGGACGCGGATAGTGGAGATCCAGCCGACTGCATGACAGCGTCGGTTAGGAGATAGATTGGGATAGAATCACGGGCATGCTCGCACCATTAGGGAACGTCAGCGCCCAGCCTACATAGGATGTATATGATCAACATACGACATTCCCAGGGAGCGCGCAATGAGATCGTGTCACTCACATCCTAAGATCTCATGAAGGTGCTTGTGGAGCTTGAACCAGTAAGGCAAGAGACCGAAGAGGAACAGAAACACGGCAAGCCCGAAGAGCATGAGGCCTGACATAACGGACGCCGAGTACCAGATCTCGCCAGCACTCGCACTCACGAGACCATGCAACGGCAAACTACAGCGGGCGTCAAGCGTACGCGCAAAGGCCGGTATCGGCAATTCTTAGCACTCGCCAAATATGGTGATATGCGGACTGAAGACGTACATCTCCATTGCCTTCGCACCGAGCTTGATGAGCGCAAGTGCGGTGAAGCCCGGGGGCCCAACAGCCACAAAAGCACCGTTTGCTTGGTGTCCGTCCAGGAACCCCGTCTAGAGCGGGAGCGAGCCGTGTTACGGAACTGATCGGACGCAGCAACTAAATCACTCACGGTCATGATCCTATTTGTAATTCGCAGACGTCATCAGAACAGGCTTCTCTCTATGGGCAGCGCGCTCCGGGGCAAGTAACTCACCGGATAATATAGATGCAGAGGTAGAAGAAGGTCATGAAGAACCCGAGGCCTGAATAAGAGTACCGCTTAGCTATGCGCTCCGAGGACTTCGAGTGGTGAGCCAACGAACCTTGAAAGACGTATCCTGTGAGGAGGACGCCGATGGCGCGCTGGTCGTTCGATGGTATGACATCTAGCACATTGAATGCGACCACACCGACAAGCATCTATTCGTCCTGCTATTCAGTACGCAGTCCGGTTCCACACGGAGCGATTGCGCCTTACCATTGGGAAAACCTAGTACCGTACGAGGGCACGGCGTGGCCACTTAGTCGCTGCCGTACTACGAGGTGATAAGCAGCACATACCAGGAATGCCCAGGCAGGAGTGAAAGTGGTAAGGTCGTGCGGCTTGTTGAACCATATCATCAGCATCGGAAAACAGACGATGCAGGCAAACGCCACGTAGACCCTATAAAACCAGAGGTGAGATAGTATCGCGTGTTCCTTCGTCGATGAAGTGCGAAATACCAGAAGAGGGCGTAGATGAAATCCGGATGCACATGGCCGGTCGGAACGGCGTATTTGACGGTTCCAATGAGGATAGTGGCGAACGAAAGCACTACGAGAGGCACGAAGATGCCCTTCACGGGGTCTTTGATGAGACGGAGTGCCTGCCTGGGATACACTACGCCGCAAGGGTCAACAGAGGCACCCCATGTAATGCGCGGAGAGCCACTCACAAGCAAGCTGGATTGCCAGAGTCGTGATGTTCAGGAGGAAGAGAGCCATATTCAAGAAGTAGAAGACCGTCTCGACATGGGTCAAGGTGCTCGAGTGCTCCTTCAGCCCGGACAAAGTGACGTACACCGCTCCGGTACCCATACCAATGGGAAACTACAGCGCTGTCAGATCAGGTGGAGGACAGACCGTATGGGACAACTTACCGCTTGCCAGCTCCAGCCATGGATACGACGCGCCAAGGAACTGACCTTGGGTGGTTGCTCCTCAGCTATAGGTGAGAGTGGTTGGCCGGCCCGAGTGGGAAGCACGACATCATGACTTTGGTAGAAGTTCATAGTAATCGAGCCAAAAGCAGGACAGATGGTAGTGCGCTGAACAGTCAACAGGAGGGGGAGAGAGCAGGCAGGACCGACACCCAATTATACGGAACAAAAACAAAATGACCGTGTAAAGACGGGGACGCAGACCGTGCCGCGGCAGGGCTGGACGAGGGAGGGTGGAGAAAGAACACGATACGACGAGCACCAGGCAGGGGCAGAGACGCTCAGCGTGCTCGACGGGCAGGCTGCTTCTCGTTCGTCCTAAGTATATAAACTTCACTAAACGAAGCCACGCAGGCAGTCGGCTAGGCCATACGCGACAATGGTTGAGCTCGCGGGGTCGAAAGGCGAAGGCAAGCGGCGGTGCGGTCTCGTGCCAAGAGCTAGACGGGCCAATGATGGGCTCGAGCCAAGGAAGAGCTGTTAGCTGTGAAAGCCTCGGACGAAACGTTTTGGCCAAGGTGCTATTACCTGGTGGAGCCCGCTACGCCCCAAGAACTTCTTTTGAACGTGGCAGTCATCATTTGCGTCTCCCGTCGACCATAGCCCGCAGCGATGGGTTCATGGCCGTCGTGACGAATCTATGGCCATGGCACACTCATCTTAGGTGTGCATGCAGGCGTGGGATGTTGGCAGGATGGTGTCTGTTGTGGACGAGGCCGTGGACGAAGGCTTGGCTGGGCAGGCCGAGGTGAAACAAATAAGCACAGGCAGATCCTCCGCGATCATTACCATGTTGGGAGTGGCGGTGCGCCGCTTGCCTTACGTCGCCAGCTCCTTTGGACCTATCTCGATGGCTTCGCCTGAGCATTAAGCAATATGTTGACACCAAGCCCTTCTTTACTGCGGACGAGCAGACTGGGCTCCTGTTCTCGAAACAAGAGGCGGAGGTTAGTTAACTGCGCCTTGACAATGGCTCTTCTACGCCAAGAAGGAAGCGTTGTCGCTACGCGTCTTGCGAAACACAGACCGCAAAAGCACCCGAGACACCACTCAGTAGCCAATCACGACATGCGTTGGACTCTCGGTCAAATCAAACGCGTCCAAGGTATTTGGCGGGGTCTGCTCATTGGTCTTCGGAGCACTGCGGCCTGTTCGTGAGACTTAGCATCGCTCGGTTTTCATCTTGGCTGCGCCCCACGGATATAGCACGACACCCAAATTATGCGAATTGCACGCCAGGTGGGCCGAACAGTCTGCATCGAGCAGTCATGGCACAGCACCGCCGTGGACGCCGCAGTACTGACAGACGAGGTAATACACGACGTCAACCGGCACATCTTGTGCCGCCGTGAACGACGATATTGAGTATTACATGAGTTTCGCTCGCCGAGAGCGGCGTGATATCATGTCAACATACCGAGGTGGGAAACCAGAATCGCATCGGCCTAGATGAAACAGGAGAATATTGGAGATGATAGAATACGGCGCGGAAAGTCAGACAAGGTGGCGCAGCGTCATGGCTGAGGCATGGAATGAAGTGTAGTCAAAGAAGGAGACGCGATGAACGCAAGGCATAGCCACGATTGTCACCACCGAACGAAGCAGCCGCACGACTGGACCTGATGCAAGGCACTTGTTTAATTATCTTCGTGCACGAGCGCGGGCGGGTCTTCGCGCACGCGCACGAATAGGGGCTGCGACCGGAAGTGGGGGTAGAGCAGGGGCGAGAACAGGGCCGGGTTGAGGATGCGCCGGACCCGCTTGAGGTTGATTGTGGTTGATGTGCAGCTGGAAGTTGAATACAGGCCCTGCTGCCTGAACCAGCCTGGGAAGGAACGCCTGCTGGAGTCGCTGCTGCTGCTGTTGTTGCTGTTGCACAAGCTCTATGGCCGCCTGGGCAGCCGCATGAGCACGAGCGACTCGCATCTGAACACCTGCAAATCCCTGGTGAACGTGGGCTTGTGCTACTCCCTGAGGATGCGGAGGCAAATGAGGATGCGCTGGAGCGCCGACACGGGCAGGTCCGGGAGCCGGAGGTGGAGGTGGAGGTGGTAATTCGACATGAAGATCTTTTTCGTCGATTTCGGGATGCGCACGTCTGTATTCCTCGAGCGCTCTCTTGGCAGCAGCAGCCACCTTCGCAAATCGTAACCGTCAGTCTCTATGCCAAACGCGATACAACGGCTAAACGGACGCACCTCGTCGCTATGGCGTCCTTCCACCCCTGAGGCGTCCCAGAGGGCGCACTTGTTCGGGTTAGCTTTCTGCGAATATGGAGGTTGCTGGAGGTTTTCATTTCCGTGTCACTGTAGCGCTCGACATGACTTGATTTGGCTAGGACTCGCCTGGTTGAAGTGATCATAACCTTGTATGATTTTGCGGCAGATGTAGCATGACAAGGTGCCACAGTTTGGGCAAGTCATCTTATTGCACTGCCAAAAATGCCATAGATGGCTATTAGTTTCCGACGCGAAGTGCAACGCCGCCGCACGTACCCCCATTTCCTTGATGAACGCTGAACACGCGCCGCATGGCGAGGGGCAACCACAGATACACAGTTCGTTTCCGTGAAAGACACTTTACCTGACTGCGACAGACACGCACCTTTCTGGCACTTGGGGCAGTTACGCATTAGCGCGTGAGCTAAGGGTGGAGCCGAACACAGCTTTCAGCCACAAGAAATTGGGTGCACGGAGATGGGTGGAGCACACGCACTCATGGCTTCCTCGATCGCGTGTCGTGCGTCAAGCTTCTTGTCATCTTCGGCTTCTGGAAAGGCACAATCCCCGGTAGACGGACAAGTCCCGTTAGCGAAACGCACCGCCCGATGCCAAAAGTCCAAACCACCACGACCCACCTTTGCAACTTTTGGGCAGATGGTCCTGTCGCCCGATGGCAAGCGGAGAAAGATACCGTCAGCATCGATGACAGACTTCCGTTCACAGAATAACATAACAAAGATCAAGAACTGGCCCGTAGGACGTCGGGCATCGCGTATGTGGACATGAGGCGGGGACGCCCGAACAACAGGGAGAGAAGGCGGCCTACGGCTCAAACAAGGAACAAGGATCGCGTACACCCCGAGATCAGGAAGCCCGCGCCACGAAACGCGCGCCCACACCCACGCGTGACAGCGAAAGGGAGAAAGAATGGGAGGAGCAGTAGACACGAGGCACGGTAGTCCATACCCAATCAGATGTGAGAAGAAAGTAGGGCAGGAGGATGTCGAGTGGCTAGCCGATGGCAGATGGGGCAGGACACGCACCAGCTTCTTGCACTTCCTGCACGTCACGGCTCCGCAGCCCTCGTTCTCGCACCGGAAGAGCCGTTCCTCGTCGTTCTCAATCACGACCTTGTACTCGCAAAACGGGCACTCCTCGAGCCCCTCCAGGCCGGCGGCCTCGATCTCCTTCCGTTGCTTGACACGCTCGTAGAGCTCGAGGAGCTTTGGGGTGAGAAACCGACGGAGCTCGGACTCTGGGAACGCGAGCTTGCACCCGGACTGGTCCATGCAGACAATCCGCGCGTCGTGCTCGCCGAGTTTCGTCTCCGCGTACGTCAACATGCACGATGTGCAGAACAGGTGTGCCTCCGGACATTGAATCATTTTGTCCTAAACGTCCATTACACCGCGAGACAGCATGGGAAGCAGCCCTATGAGAACGATATACGGAGACTACCGCGCAAAGACCACTCACGAAAGGATACTCGCAAAAACAGCACCCGCACTCGATCCCACCCTCCTCCTTCAACCTCGCCTCCTCTTCCGCCTCGGCGACGCGCCGAGCCTCCTCCTCTTCCAGCCTCTCCCTCACCCACTGCATCTCCAGATCCAGCTCGTCGTCGTGTTTCTGCACGCGTTTACCCTTGCCCTTGTTCCGCGGGCGCATCATCGGTTTATATGGGAGTGGCACGCGGCGCTGCTGCGCTAGCAGCTCGAGATACGTCGGGGCGTAGAGCATACTGTGCGCGTTGAAGACGGCGCGGATGTGTGCGGAGGGTATATAGACGAACTCGCTGTCGAGTGCTTCCTGCGGTGGTTGCCCCCACAAATCAATCACGAGCTTGTATCGTGTCGGACGGGAGACGCGACTTACGAGAGCGAGAGCGACATAGTGCTGACCTCCTTCCCTCCTCCGCGTCTTGTCGCCGTAGTCGACCTTCGGCTTCACAGCACGGTCCTGCGGCTCCCCCTCCCCTTCCCTCTTCCGCTTACCCTTTCCCTTGGCATCTGCCTTTGGGTAGTCCGGGTTCTCGAAAAGGTTATGCAAGACAGTCTCAACGACCCGGTCCTTGTGATTCGGGTAGTACTGCTCGATCAGCGAGAAGACGTGCGCGGGCAGCGCGTCAGGGATGATCTCGAGCACCTGCGCAACGTACACGTCGAACGCGGGCTCTTCGTCTTGTTCTGGGACGACTATAGGCTCTGGAGCTTGAGGTGGGGGACTGTTTCGGAGAGCCTGAGGGGCAGGAGCTGGCGGAAGTGGAGCCGGCTCCAGCGGAGGAGCCCGAGGAGGTTCTAGCATAGCCGGCTGTCCGAACCCAAAGTCGATCTCGTCATCGAACGCGTCCGGGAGGAACAGCGGATTTTCCAAAGCAAAAGGGACTGGTAGCCGAACGATAGGCGGCGTAGGGACCCGAGCCGGGGCTGGGGCGGGTAGAGGTTCGTGCAGGATAGGGGCCACGAGCCCGTCCCTCTTAGCCTGCGACCGCCCTGCACGAACCGAGGGTGCCCGCGATGGCCCGGCACGACGCGCAGCCTGGCTGCGCGACGGTCCAGCGCGGGCGTTGTCGTCCTCGGAGTCCGTGAGCTCGATGACGTCCCCGAGGGGAATCGCGCGCTTGACGGTCTTCGGGCGAGGCTTGGGGTTCACCTTCGCCTTTGCCTTCGCTTTGGCGGTGGACGCGCGCGTGTTCCTGCTGGGCCCGTCGCGCACCGGGGAGTTGTCCCGGGAGTCGACGTCGATCACGACACGGTCCATGACTGCTGGTTAGGCATGTTAGCACATATCGCCTTGGGCACACGACGGCACGGAACGAGAGAATAGATGGGAGGTGTTGTCCACAAGAAGACGAGAGGCAAATATGCGACTGCTGCACCGACAGGGTCTTACAGCATATCCGCTATACCTAGCAGTTTATAATCCGCCAGTCAACTCAGGAGGATGTGTATGCCGAAGCGGATGCCAGCGGTCCGAGCAGCAACACCACAGTCTATGCGCCCAGCAAAATTCAACCCACTCATGTTGCGCCGTTCCACTGATGAATATGAAGGCGGGGGGCCTTGGCCTGATGTCTGATTGCACTTCCCGCTCCAAGAGATATGGGAGTACGACCAACGCAGAGGTCAAATGCCGCTCTACAGCTCGAGAGCAAGGGCACCTCCGAGTATGTTGGCCCCACTCGGAGCGCATCGGTGTTCACTTCGTCATGAAGATGTGCTCAGCGCATGACCCAGCCCGTACCGTGATTGACGTGCAGCCGAACTCAGAAGTATTTGTGGAGCGTCCCGAAGGGACGGCGGGCCGAAGCAAGCTCTTTTTGCTAGAAGACGGCGTGAACGTCAGCAGACTTGGGGCCCTCGCCAAAGCCGACGAATACACGTCTGTCAGGAGATACGTCGACGACTGCCTCCAGATCGTGACCTCTTTCAGCAGGTACAGCAGGATGCATGGATGCAAGCTCGTGCCGTTGAAAAATGCTTGCACCAGCGCGAGGCCCGAACGAATTCGGGGCATTGCCTGACCGACGGCCACCGCTCGAGCATCTATCATCCAGGCTGGACGAGATGGATGCAGTCAGAGCGGTTCGCCATCCGACGCTGCGGCCTATCTTGGTTGGGTCGCAGCTGCATCGACCGGAAAAGGCACCCAACTCGTCTGTTCGTCTGTTCGCCTGCCTCTCAGGCGAGACGCACGCCCCCCACGTATGAGCCAAATTAGAAAGCTGCATGATGTGTATCTTGCGCCTCGCCCCTGCGGTGGTGCAGCCGCCGAATTTGATAGATAGGCGCAAGGGCCCGATGGGCGAAGTGATCGCATCTGGGTGCGACCGAGCCTTCGACCGATCCGCAATTCGCCAAGAGCGCGACCAGCGGACCGCGATGAGACCGTGCACGACGCAACCGGACATGCGTGCTCCAAGACATCGTTGTGGGATGCTGCTGCGGCACGGTTGGAGCTGCGGTCATGCACGCTGGTCTTGCGTGCCCGCTGGCCGAGCTCCAGGCGGAAATGCGTGTTCCTTCGAGATTGGACCTCAAAGACGAAGTTGGTGCGCTCGGTGCCGTAAGACCAGCGCTGCGAGGTGATGTAGATGCGACACCAAAAGAGCTCCCCCAGGGAGGCTGTATCGAGCGCTGTTGTTACAAACTTGTTGTCTTTGTCTCCGGCGCGATCCTCAAGACAGAGATGAGTACGCGCGGCGGGGGTCGCAAACCTCACCAGAGCACGCAAGATTCACATATCCTCGTTTGCTGCACGTGTCCAGACTTCCCCAGGAGTGGCACGACGGTGGAAGGTGCTCACGCTGAGACCCGAGAGCAGTCGCCAGAATCGTCAAAGAAGACGATCATGTTTCTAAAGAATGGGCAATGAGGAGCTTACCTGGGAATCTGTCGCTGTCCCCCCCAATCACCCCTGGGTTTCAGGACGTCGTGGACGCTGTGCCACTGGGCGCGCTTTCGCCGCTAGATGTCTGGAGGGATACAAGTGCAATGAGGGACAGACGAAAAGGAAAGAGAGAGAGAATGGTATTGGCGATGCAGTCGCGAAGAAGGGGGAGCTCGTCGTCGTCGACAGCGGCGAGGACAGGAAGCACAGCGGCGACAGTCGCCCAGACAAGAGTCAGACCCAGACCGGATCAACGCCCTTCCCAGGCTCCCGGAACGCCCACGTGCTCTCCCGTCACCATTGTGACCGACGCGCCTGCCATGGGCGAACTTATCCCTTGAACTTGACCTTCCATCGTCAAACCCGACTCGGACTACTTCGTTCCACTTCTGGTTCAAAGTCTCTCAAGACGCCATATTCAGACACGTTAGTGCTAACAGCACATATAGACGGGGCCATCATTCATATCAGGAAAGAAAGACTTCTGTGATGACAATTGTGCGCGCTGGTACATCTTGTGGCACAACCAGGGTGGTGCGTGCTACATATACATGCAAGGCTCAGAGGCGGGAAGTCACTTCGGGGAGCTCCTCTGGAAGACGTTATTCGCAACGCCTGTCAACAATGAGAAGGGGCTGGACTCCGACCTCTGAGACTGTGCAGGGGACGTCATCTTCTCGCATGTCTCTGAACGGAGCGAATGAGTTCTGTGGATATAGATTTCACCAGTGGGGACACCGATTGGCTCTGAGGGGCGGCAAGATAAGAGTCTTTCGACCCAGATTGCTCCCGGAGAGCCTCGTATGTCGGCAGACTGTCCACGCATTACGTGGACAATCATAGGTCGATGTTTTCTTCAAACCTCGGGCACACTGCGAGAGCACAATTTCCCCCAGTAGCTTCATCGTGAGACGCAGGAACCGTCGACGCCCGTTGCCAATATGTTGGGTCCGTGGAGGGTTGATTAGAGCGATCCCTTCACTACTCAGGGATGCATTAACCTATTAGCGCATCTCTTCCTGCACCAGCGATTGGGGCGTTCCGTATCATGGTACTGTTTAACGGCGGCTCACATCCCATGAGTATATCGTGCCAACCCTCAATCTCATCATATGGATAGATTGCCTCGACGTGAAGCCAGCGCATGCGATCGTGGCAAGACCGCCTTCATGGCATGACGAAGGGAACAAACACGCTATGCTACTGACACACGAGAACGACGTCCAATAACGCGCGGCATAGGCGTATACGTCGGCTTCGAGCACGGACTTCGTCGGTGAGATTAGTCCTCCGATTGACCACCGATGACCACGGCTACGGGTGCAACCGCTTCAGAAAGCCACTGGAGCCTCATATTGGGATGCCCCGTGAGCTCGATGAAGACAGGCCGCATGTCAGCTTTCGTTTGAGAAATGCCAGATGCCAACAACGATCGCAGAACTCAGTTGAGGTCGGAACAAAAGGTAACGTCATTTATTCCGGTTCAGTCGACGTCGACAAACGACCAATCGCCTCCGCCGCGTTCTGTAACTCGGCGGATAGGCAAATTTCCGGACCTTCGTATATTACAACAGACTCCCAGAAGGCACGCCCACTCGCCTCCGGCACGCCGTGATGGTTTCGGTCAGAACGCCAGCGGATCATCGTATCGAATATGCCCGCAGCACCACTTGAGTGGAGCAGAATCGCTAGAGCAGCATGCACTCGAAGGAGCTCGGGATCGGGTAGGTCTATGCCAGCTTGTGCACGCCTTCGTTTCACTCCCCGGCGCCGAGCTGCCCTCTCTGCGTCGGCACTATCCGGGGCCGGTGTCTCAAGACTATAGTCCTGGAATGTAACCCGATCCTGCACGGGTATGGCACCGAGGAAGTTCGACTGGTGCGTTTGGATCTCATAGCAATTCGTGGTCTGGATGAGAGTCATGACGGATCGTGCTATGAACGGTAACGAACCACACTGACGTCTGTCGGTAGT